TTATATAGCAATCTTTAAACGAATTTTCTTCCAATTAAAAGCCAAGAAATAAACTTTTCGTGTCACGAACACACCCCCAAAAGACCAGACACACACCAGCAGCAGCGAAAAAGACAACCCAACAAGCCGCCCACAAAAGCCACACAGATACACGCACTTGACTCGTCTGCCTCGCTCCTAATTTTCCTCATTTTCCTCGAAGCGTGGCAACCGAAATCTATTTTTAGCTCACCGATTTTCCAACAAACAACGAAAAAAAGTAAAGTAAAGTAAAAAGAGAAGCGGAAAGCCACACAGCCTTATAGTGCATATCCATGGCCAGAACTCCACTGCCCCACCTGTAACTTTTTAGATAAGACTGACGGGGAAAACTGACGCTTAAAGTGTTTTTTAGGGGCGGTGGTGAAAAGGAGGAGGGGTTTTGGGTGGAGGTCTCCAAGGAAGGCTGCGTGGGCCCGTCTTGAGGTCACCTACGCTCACACGCAGATATAATAAATACACATAAAGTCCTGGCCCACGCTCGGTTAGCTATTTTTGACCTCACACGGGAAAAAAGAATGAATATCCATATCAGTCAAAGGGATCAGAAGTAATTTTAATAAAAGCTAGAATTAATTTGGATATATTTAAAATATATTAAAAAGTCTATTGATAAGCCTAGCCCTTTAAAAATATTTAAATAGCTTCCACATTTAAAAAGCTTATCAGAAAATCATTTCCTTATCAAATCAATAGGTTATAGTTTAAAATAATTTCAATATTTTGACAAAGTAATACGTTATGACATAACAGCAACTATTAGAATGATTTATTGAAGATCTTTTATTATTTCTTAAATTCTTTGAAATATTATAACTTTAAGTATTGTTCTCTTAATAACAGAAAATTCCTAATTTTTTAGTTATTACTCCCCTATTAGTCCCTATTTTTCCCAGTGCCCTCGTGCAGACTTTGCATATGAAGTGGGGATAAGGACCGGGGGAAAACTGTCAGCATTTCGCATTTGTTTGGACGTGTCCAAGTTGTCACCTGCTGGTGGCAAAGGTCACGCCCAGGCAATTGCATTACGAGTCCAATTCAAAGGGCTGTCATAAGCAGTTACCATTCCGGCACTCATCCCCATCCCTATCGCCCCCCCACATCCACAGGAATGTCATCTTTTGCTCACTTTATCCATGCTGACTGCATCGTCATCATGAGCATCTTTGGCTTTATCATAGGTTGTCGTCGTCAGCCATTCATTGACGACAATTCTATGGGCCAACGATTTGTTTTTGCTAGCTGCGCACATATAGTCGAATATATATACCGAACGGTTGGATAGATAGATGTGTGTATATATAGAGCTATGGCTGTGTGTTTAGACCATTTCTAAAGACGCTCGATTAATGAGCGTTTTGTATGCGTTGCTCGACCACCGCCTCGCCTCTTGGGTGGTCAGCTGCCTCGTACTCCTCCCTCTAGAAAACCCCCTCCCAACTGAAATCCATCTAAAACTGAAACCGAAGCAACAACAAACGGAAGTGAGCTCTGGGCGTGGGCTGATCTGGATGGAACGAACCCCGTCTGAATGAAAACAAAAAGGGGGTGCAGTTATTGTCTTAGTTCTGCTAATGGACAAGATTTGCCAGGAAAGCCTCGAAACGTAGTTAGAGCCATGGAAAAGGGCTTTAACAGGCCTGCGTGGGGGGAATATTAGGTAATATTTGTGGTAAAAATAGTAATCGAATCGATTTTAGGGTTGTAAATCGATAGTAGTGTTGTAAAGGCCCATATGAATCATAAATTAGTTGCTGGGATATAATAGAAATTCCAATTTGTATTTTATGAACTGGAACTTCCTTTTAATAAGGGAATTTTTCATTTAAGTAGCTACATAAATTTATAAATAAACTTAAAACCCATCAAAAAGTTGTTAATCTGTACTGATTACTTCACAGACCCATTAATTAATGATTAACCTAAAAAGTATTATACCAAAAAAAAGCCCCTTTGAGTTTACTTCGTTGTCTTTTCACAAATCCACTGGTAGTCAGCTCTTTCAATTGCAGTTCTGTGTGTTTGGCCCCCACCAAAAACAAACATGCTTGTTGTTGTGGGATTTATTTTTAAAAATTATAATTTTCAAAAATAAAAAGGCCATTTTTCGTTGGCGTTTTTTTTTTTGTTCTGTAGCGTCGGTGCGACGACAAAAATAATGAAAATCACATGTTTGCTTGCGGCATAAAAATGGTTGTTTTAGTTGTTGTTGCCCTCTCAGTTGAGTTGAGTTCAGTTCGGTTCTTGTTGGGCTGTCATTTGGCGTTTTGCTTTTGCTTTGCTGGCAGCACGAAGCACACACAGTATCTTATAGATACTTTACTATATATGTGCCATGCCCATTCTATAAGGCATATCTGAAATCTCAACCCATTGAAGCGTGCCCATCCCCTTTACCTTTTACCCTTTGATTTTCAGTAAATGTTACATGGTTTGAGAAATTTCGCCACTTGATCGTTATAATTTATAATATTCTCTATAGATTATTATGAGAATTTTGCATTACATTTTCTATGTTTAGCTTTCGCTGAGCCGTTGTTTCAATTATGTCGTCGGTTGTTGTCGTCAGCATATCGTACTATATAGTATACACTATAGATATATAGCCTATGCAGATCCCATGCCTTACATTTTGGTAACAGTTTCGTGATTATCTATTTTTAGTGTTGCGAATGCAATTAATTTGCTGTCATTTCGGCCTCTCGTTCCGTTGTTTGTGTAATTTTATTTTTCGCCGACTATTCTTGATATATCCCAAATAAGACAGAGGGAAGATATATGCACGGCGTGGTCTATATATATAGACGAGTTGCTATAAATCAGGTGAAAGAGAGGTGGAGAAAGGCAGGGGGCGCAGATTGATTAAAGGCGAGAGTCCCGTTCATACAAAGTTACAGGTGATCTACAAAGTTCTCAGCTCGACCACAGAAGTATATATTATTTTTACCCCGCGGAAACCTTCACGACTTCCCCATCTATCTGTTCGGCTGTCTATTTGGCGTCTGCGTCATCAACGTCATTGTGGATCTGTGTGTCTAGCTGTTTATTTAGCTAATAAAAATTAAGCATTTAATTTATTTATTCAGAATATTCACATATGTTTGTGTGTGCTCACATGTTTTTGGCAGAAACGAAAAGAAACGAAACGAGAATTTCCTTCCATTATGAATGAAATTTGTATTTGTGTATTTTTGGCTATGACATAAATTCAGAAACAGAACACAAAACCCGAACACTCGGCTGGCCACTTAAATCAATTGAAAATTGGTTGGTAAAAACCCCTCCCCAAAAGCAAAAGACGCAAGACCATCGATCAAAAAATGGACAAAAATGTTAACTTATCGGTTGAAAACGTTTTTACGCCTCTTTTATTTATTCTGCCTCTCGGTTTCCCGGTTTCCGTTAGCCCCAAAAATTAACAGCCAGCAAAAAGTAAATAAACTTAAATATTTCTCCTCGGTTTATCAGTCCTCTCTCCGCTTCTTCTGTGTCTGATTTTTTAAGCGTGTGTCAGCGTGAAAAAGAAAGCAAAAGCAAACCCAAAGCCCCCAAAAAACGAGCCTAATACCTCTGGGGGTCTCTTGGTCTTATCGACGAGGAAAAAAGTATCGATGACGAAACTGCCTCACCTCACGCTCTTTTCTTCGGTTTGGTTTTTTTGTATTTTTCGTAGATTAAACCCAACGAAAAAAGTGTTTAAAAATAGAGTAGAAAATAACACGCTCAAGTGTCCAAAGGTTTGCTATAACACCACACACATCTCACACATCATCAAAACAAAAAGTGTACGAAGCACAGAGAAAAAATAGAAAAAGTAGAAAAAACTGGGCAACTGATTAGAAGGGTTTAGCTAAAGTCAGTCGTCAGTCGACTGATTTGTGAATGGAATTCTCTGTGGAACGGGTTGTGATCGATCGATCGTCAGATCCCCAGATCCCCAGATCGTCGAATCGAATAGGATCGACCATTATCAGTCGATCGCTGGGGCAACAATGAAACAACTTTATGGATTCACATTCTAGAATTTCTCCGCAAAACGGGAGAGCAATTTATTTTCAATAAAACCAGTGATATTCTCCCCGGTGTTTCGGTATTCGGATTCGGATTATCGGTCTGCTGCGATCAGTAAACACCGATGGGGGACGGGAGATGGGAGACGAGGCCAGACAAACAAACAACTTGAAATGTCAGTTAAACATTTTGTCCGGCTGGCGCAAAAAATACGGCAACACTCTATATATTATCAAATAAAAAGCAGGGAAATTTATTTGATTTTACTTTGACAGTTAATGCATTTATATATATTTATTTTTAGCACTTTCAGGCGAGATCAAAGCGATTCTATCTATAGAACGTTTTGTATTCTTCAATGAAATTCTAGAGGGTAGGAAATTAATGGAAAATGAAATAGGGAAATATCTTGGGAATGCTTTGATAGCAAGCAGTAAACTGCTTTACCCTTTAGAAACCAAGAATGTTGTTTAATTAAGTTTAATGTCCTGTTTTTAAGGAGTAATACTACTATAAGTATTGATCTTTTTAATGGCTTGTTTAGTTTACCCAGTCATAAAATCTTAAATAGCCACTAACATATAAAATGTTTGTACTGCACCTCCCTGATCACTGATAGCTTTTAATGTTTATTTTCCGAACCCACTTGATTTCTTCCTGATCACTGATCACTACTTATGTTTATATTCGAAAGACGAAAAACATGTCACGATGCAGTCGTAAATTAATCAGATATTCGCATGGAATAAACATATACACCAATTATTTCTATCAAGAATTGTGCATTTCCTGGCAATCCATCTGGCCGAAGGTTAGACGCCAAAACGTGATTAACTGAAATTGCACCATTTGTGCGGTGCTATGTAAGCTATGTAGCTACGTATCTACGTATCTGAGAGATACTTATATGCCCAGATATATATCTTGGCAGCTGTGCGGGCGAAACTTACATTGATTTTCAAAAGCAATCCGTGGTACAAATTCCGTAATTAATCACCATAAGTTGTAGGTTGTGTAATCCTTAATTTTTTCGGTTTTGAGAGGTGTATCCAAAATGTTTCGATGATTTCGTGTTATTTTCTGGTTTTCAGTTATATTCCAAAGGCGATTCTCTCTTCGAAATTCTTACTCGCGATCGCGACTGCTGGTTTTTTTATTTAGCATTTATTAAAGATGATTTTTCGCTTTGCTTTCTTTCGCATTTCATTCACAAAAGTAAATTTAATTAACACAAAAACGACGCCGGCGAATGATGTTTGATTTTGTTATTATTTTTGCGCCAACCTCGTATTATTATATTCGCTGGGTTTTTTTCGGCGTGCCAAAAAAATAATAATAATCAACTTGGCGACCGGCGGTTGTTGTTGTAGTTGTTGCTGCTGTCGTTGTTGCTGTTGCTGCTGCTGCTTTTGTTGGTGTTGTTGTTGGAGCAGCGACGCTGGCGTCGCACAATCACACACAGATACACCAACACACTGAAGCGGGGCCACGTCGTCGTCGTGTGTGCGAGCGGCGAATGTATCTGTGTTTCTCGTCGACTGCGCTGGTGTGTGTGCGTCGGTTGTCTTGAGTAAAAAAATATTTTTATGCAATTTTATATATGCACATATATATGTATTTATATATATATGTATAAAAATATAAAAATATTTGTGTGTTCGCGAGCGACTGTTGTTGTTTGATTTTGTATTTGCTGTATTTCTTTTTTTGTTATTTGACTTTTTCCCAACACGTTTTGTATTTGATTGGCTTGAGTTGGACTTTTTTTTGTTTTAAATAGACGTTGTTGATTTTCTTCGAGCAATTTGCATTTTTAGGCACATGATTTCCATTGGAAGCGATTGGTTGCGGTTAACTATTTCTATTTCTATTTGAATTTCAATTTCCCAAAAATAAACACTCACTTTTCTCACCACACACAATATTTCTCAAGTGATTGGTTTTGTTTTATATATATTTAGAAATATATATTCTCGGGTTGTTGTTGTTTAACGCGGCTTGGTAGTGAATTGTTTTGTTTAGCAGGCTATTGTTGCTTTTGATGGCTTTAAGTTGCTTCGAAAAAAAATGTTGTAGTTTTATACAAAAAAGTGGCTTGTGATTTTTGAGGAAATCGGAAAGACAGCGAACGCGGCAATCGCGGCAACCGCTCGTCACGAGGTTTTGAAGCGAAATGAGCCGCGGTCGTTTTAATTTTCGTTAACAGCGCCCGCTGTTAGTTCGCGGCGAAGAGAGGGCGAATTTGTGTTTTGAGCGAGGTCTGTTAGGGGTCTGTTAAGGCCTATGTTAAATTACAACTATCACATTTTTTAACCATTTCTTCTAGATTTTAAGGCTTTTCAGAGCATAAAAAATGCAGAAACTAAATGCATTAAATAGTTATTATTAATTTAATTACTTTTAATTAAAATGTTTTCCTTTGGGTCAAGGAAATTGCTTGAAATCCTCAATGCTTTTGATTTGTTTTAATTGTAGTTATCTAAATTCTTTTAAAAACTAGACTATTATTTTTCTTTATTTCTTTACAACTGGAAATAATAAAAAAAACCAAAACGATCACTTCTTTTTTCAGTCTCAACAGAAAATTACGAAAAAAAATAAACGAGGCGAACGTATCTCTCGCGCGGCGAATTCAGCTGTTGCGACTTTTCGTACTAAAAACCAACCGGACGTTGCCGCCCCTGTCCCCCCAAATCCCCCCTCGGCCACCCTGGCCCGCCGCCTCGCCCCCCTCCCCCTGCCCCATTCGTATCTGTGTGCCTTGCTGTGTTTGTGTAAAAAACGGAAATTGAAAATATGCCAACTTGTAGGCGCGCTCGTTCGTTTTCAAGGGGGGGACTTCTCTGCTGAGAGGGGCAGCGGGTCGAGGCGAATTCATGCCAGTTTCTTTTTCATTCATTTAAATTTAAATGCAAACAGCGAACGGCAAACGGCGAACAGCTCGCAGCGCAAACAAACAACAGAGCAAAGGCAGAGGCAGCAAATACAGCAAAGCCAAGCGACGACTGGGGACTGAGGACTGGGCCCCCCGCAATGTGCGAGCCCCTGAGCGACCCCCACTCCGCAGCCCCTGCCTCCTACCCGCCATTAACCCTTCCAAGCTATATAAAAAAATATTTTTTGTAATCAATATTATTTTGAATGAAAATTTCAAGAGCTTGCTATTTTTCAGAAGCTCAAAAGCTTAAAAAATATATTTTTCCTTATAGACTTGAATGATTGTTCCATATAATTAATATCCAAAAAAAACATATTAAATTAAGGTATACAGCATAGAATCACAAGCCCTGCGTAATATAAAAAAATATTTTTAAATAATTGTTTCCTTTAAATATTGTCGTAAATAATTTTTTAAAAATCTTTATACTTTGTCAAATGTTTATAAATAATCCAATAAATTTTATTTGTACACCACTTTAAAAATGGGTACAAAAAAATCATATGCTAAGGTTTTTTTTTTGAGAAAATCGTAATTAAATTCTGCTTAATAATTAAATAAGTACCACCACTTAAAAGAAAAAGTTGTAACTTCTATATAACTGATCGTGATCATCTATAACCGTAGTCTTCAAGGGGTTAAGCAGCTAGCTTGCCTACGCGGCGAATCCCCAATCCGAACAAGTTTTCCACGAATGGGTGTGCTGTCGTCGTCGCTTTTCCGGCCGTTGCGTGCATAAACTTGGTAATTTTCCCCGTCGCCAATTTGCCAATCACCTCTCGGCTCTTGCTCATTTTCCATACTATCTGCGATTTTTCCCTCAATGAAATTTTCCTCTTGCATGTTTTTACCAAATCTGTAGCAGCCAGAAGCAACAACAATAATTGCATGGCCACCACTTAAAAAAATAGGAATTTATATTAATTAAAAGGATAACTGACTGTCGTCTTCCGGGAGTTTTGAAATATTTTTTTAGTTTCTTAAATTGTAAAGTATTTAAAGAATTGTAGGTTAATTGTTGAAGATTTTTTAGGCCTAGCAATTTCTCAGATAAATAAAAAATATATATAAGAAAAGAAACGCTGACTGCGCTGCCGACTGCGTCGCGTTGGCTGACAATATGAATGAAAATTACGCACACACAGGGAGAGCGAAAGACACCGAGAGAGGGGCAAGAAAGTTGGGGGAAAACGGAAAACTCAAGATGTTTTTCCATGTGTGTGTCGTGGGTTTCCAGCCACCGAGATGCCGCGAGTGTCTGTGTACGTTGCATGAGGTAAGCATAAGATGTTGTGTCCACGTGTGCCCATGTGTGCGTGGAAATGCTTCGCTCAGGTGAGACAAAGGTGCCAAATCATTCACTCAAAAAGGTCCCGGCACTGTCAGAAATTTCATTTGAGGATTCAAAAAGTAGCTAATAAAAATTACCCTAAAATTTTTCTACAGATTTTTTAATTTAATTTTAAGGTTTTAATAGAACGGTTTTTATAAAGTTTTTAGATAGAAGTTTCAAAATGTTTAGAAACCACAATCCAAATTTCGTAGAAAATAGCGCCCAAAAGCGTGCTTTAAAATATATTTATTTGTAAATCTGTTCTTTATTCTTAAGACATTTTCGAAATGTAAAAGTAACACTTTTTAAGTTTATTATATTTGTTATATATTGTTTAATTAATATATATGTTAATTTTGTATTAATATTTTACGGTTACTTGCAACTATTATCTTGAGGATCAGTTTTAAAAAAAAACAAGAAAGGAAGCTACCTTCGGCCAGCCGAAGCTTATATACCCTTGTAGATAAAAGAATACTCACTCGGTGCAGTTCCAGGGATTCCAGATTCAGCGTTTGGATTTATTTCAATTTTGTTTTTAAGTAGTCAAGAATCAAAACGCCTACTTCCTACAAAGTTACAATGAATTTTCTTATATTTGTTTGGGAGCCTTAAGATATAGTGGTCCGATCCGGCTGGCTCCGACATATGTACTACCTGCAATAGAAAGAAGGCTTTCGGGAAAGTTTCATCGCGATAGCTTTAAAACTGAGAGACTAGTTCGCATAGAAACGGACAGACGGACAGACGGACAGACGGACAGACGGACAGACGGACAGACGGACATGGCTAGATAGACTCGGCTATTGGTGCTGATCAAGAATATATATACTTTATGTGGTCGGAAACGTCTCCTTCACTGCGTTGCAAACATCTGACTGAAATTATAATACCCTCTACAAGGGTATAATAAATATATATTTTTTATATTTCTGTTTTAAAAATATTTTAAACATATTTGTTATTTATTATTTTTCAGCCATTTCAACGTTAATTTTATGAAGCCCTTTTTTTTGGTTGATTTTCCCTAAAGCTCAGTTTAAAAATCTGGGTAATTGGATTAAATTTTTTCCTTAAAATACTTTCTGTATTTTTATACCCTTGCAGAGGGTATTATGATTTCAGTCAGAAGTTTGCAACGCAGTGAAGGAGACGTTTCCGACCCCATAAAGTATATATATTCTTGATCAGCATCACTAGACGAGTCGATCTAGCCATGTCCGTCTGTCCGTCTGTCCGTCTGTCCGTCTGACCGTCTGTCCGTCTGTCCGTCTGTCTGTTTCTACGCAAACTAGTCTCTCAGTTTTTGAGCTATCGGGATGAAACTTTCCCAAAAGTCTTCTTTCTATTGCAGGTAGTATATATGTCGGAGCCGACCGGATCGGACAACTATATCTTATAGCTCCCATAGGAACAATCGGAAAAAAAAACTTTAAAAAATTCTAACTTCGGTGTTTTTTGAAATATTACCTTCTACTTTTGGGGATGTTATTTTTTTAATATTTCTGAATTTCGAATTAATTATTTAAAAAATCGGACTACTATATCATATAGCTGCCATAGGAACGATCGGAAAATTAATGGAAAAGTAATAGGAAATAAATTCTAGCTTCTTTGGTGTTTGTTGTATTATCTTCTACTCTAGAATATGACTCTTTTTAAATATTTCCGAATTTCAATTTTAATTTAATCAAAATCGGACGACTATATCATATAGCTGCCATAGGAACGATCGGAAAATTAATGGAAAAGTAATAGGAAATAAATTCTAGCTTCTTTGGTTTTTGTTGTATTATCTTCTACTCTAGGATATGACTCTTTTTAAATAATTCCGAATTTCAATTTTAATTTGATCAAAATCGGACGACTATATCATATAGCTGTCATAGGAACCATCGGAAAATTAATGATAAATATTAGAAAATTGAACATTTTTGCGATTTGTTAATTAATAGGAATGATCTGCAAGGGTATATAAGCTTCGGCTGGCCGAAGCTAGCTTCCTTTCTTGTTTATTTTCCTTCTAAACTGCTGACATATCCCAAATATGAGCCCACAATTTCAACAACCCATAGCCTCTTGGGTATGAATGATGTTGAAAAAGCAAACACAACAACGCGACTGGTTGGGTTGTCGTTGCTTTAGTTGTTTTTGTTGTTGTTGATGTTGCTCTCGAGCAGAGTTGCCGCTGCCAAGCCATAAAAAAGATACACGATTGAGCGGCGCGTGCGGTTTCCAGCTCGACAACTCTGGCTCGAAATCTCCAACTCAAAACCAGTAGCACTTTTCTGAGAGAAAAATGTGAATAGTAAAATCAAATTATACGGGTTGTTGTCTAATAAGCCAAACTTCGAGTAAGAGTAAACAAAGATGTTTCCAAGACTAGCTTGAACTTTCCCAAAAAAAATGGGGAAGTGGATGGGTTTTTTTCTGTTTTTTTTTGGTTACTATGGGGCGTAGTATCTGTAGAATACAAAATAAATAAATGGCATATTCCAAATGAGCACAGATACACATGCAAATGCAAATTTCTCGCGCTCACATAAAAATATCTCAATTTCAACTCTTTCAAGAGAACGTTTCGCCGCACGCGGCGAATTCGCGAGCGCTGTGACGGCCCCTCTCACAGATACATTAGCAGCATTTTACAGACACAGATACATTCGCCTGGCGTTCGGCTTCGCTTCGTTTCGTTTCGCTTCGTCTTTTTTATGAATGAAATGAACGGACCCCGATTATAATGAATGGAATTGGAGGTCTGCCCGACGCTCTGCCGGCCTCGTGGGCAAACACAAAATTGCCTTTGCCTCTGCCTCTCTGACTTTGCAAATTAAATATATTGTTCATCTTTTTCGTTTCGTTTCATTTCGCTTGGTTTCTTTTTATATATATTTTTT